TAAGATTCAAGTTACAGCTTGGAGGAAAATTTTCCACCTAGCTTCTTTTCTGTTCCGACTTGTTTTGCACTCCCCTCCAACCTCTCATTTCCCTAAATTGTTTTTCTCCATTTCATCTTTTGCAGTTTTCACGAAGCACCTAGAAACACCATTTTAATATCACATCAAAACGTGGTTACGTGCTTTTCCACGTGCATATCCATCTCTGGAAAGCAAGTGGCTGTGCAGGACAGGTTCAGGTGACAGCTCCCAGGAACGTGCCCAAGCAGCTTGGGACCCACGTGAGTTTCTGAACTCAGGCTGTGCAGGACAACTTTGCTCGCAAAAGATTTCCTATGCAATGCACCTTTTTAATAGCCTCTCATGTAAATAGATGCTTGGCCAATTCATATGTTGTTATTGACAGTTTAAGAGTGAACCAATTATTTCCCATTTTGCCTTGTAGACAAGATGTTAGAATACCTAGCTTCTCACTTGCCGCTCTGCTGTAAATCTGATGTAGCAAGCACATACTTTATTTTTCATTTTGAGCTTGTTCTTATACAAACTATCAACAGCTCTTGTAATTTAAGACACAGGGAGTTTTTGTTTGTTTATAACTTTTCAAGTGAGATTTAAATACACAGTTCTACCCTCCAGTGGATCAGGTATATTTAATAATTAATCCATACAGGGATGTCAGGCCCTCTCAAAAGACTTAACTTTTGAGACTCTCAAAATTCTGCTTTATAATGTTTTCATTCTTTGTATATACATGTAGAATCCACTGCAATGAACAGGAACGAAAATATGCCTCTGGAGAAAAGCTGGGGGAACTGGATGCGTCTGTATCTCGGAGAAGGCAAACCTGAGAGAAGCTTTGGTAAGCTCCCGAAGTGTGCAATAGAATAGTTATCTTCAGCGTTCATTTGGGGGAAGAGGAATTTTAGAAAGATCATTTTTGGAAAGGAGAGGGGAGGATAGCTTTGGGATTAATGCCACATTGAGAGGGTAGAATCCCAGCAGGAGAAAATGTGTAATGCTTTAGAAAAAAATACATGAGTAGATGTAAAATACATATTTCTGAAGGAATTTATACTCACTCAGCCTGATGCAAAGCAAGGTTTTAGTTTTAAATTAGCTGCAGCTCATGTAAAGAGTTCTAGAAAAGGACTTGTTTCACCTGTGATACTCAAACCCCATGTGAGAAGGCTTTAGGTTGGTCCAAGTTCACCTCAAAGTGAAGGGGCACCTGCGTGCTGAAGCTGTGCAGTCCAGGGCACGGAGCACAGCACCCAGTGAGAAAACCTGGCTGCTGTCCACTGGAATGCATCTTGGATGTGCCACGCAGCTTTGCTTTCTAACCCCTGATTTGTTATTCCAGGCAACAAGACTGGTTGTTATTAATATTAGAATAGTACCTGTACCTGTAGAGCTGTGATGTTGGTTGGGATATGTGTATTATGTAGTTTGAAAAATTATGGCATAATTATTTTACATCATCCATCTATATTTTTGCAGCCTTAAAAAAATACTGTATTCCCCAGCCGTCCCTTCCTTTCAGAGAGGTTTGCATTGCATATACTGATTTTTTTTTTATTTGGAGTGGCAAGACAGCATTATAATTCTGATGAGCTGCCTCTGAACTATACTGTATCTGTGGTAAACCCCAATATAGCTTATGCGCTGTTACCCTTTTTAACCAACTACCCTTGCTTGAGTAGTCACCTCATGAAAAATTAGGCGTTAGTTATACAAGGTTGCCCTCTCCCGGCTGTAAACAGCCCCACCACTTTGCTGTAATATTTTTTTTCCCCTTTTCTAGACAGGCAAATGCCGTGCTAGCACTATAATCGGCCTCAAATTTTTCTTTTAACTATAAAACAATAATGAATTAAATAGATATTTGGGGACAGTTCTGTATTCTCCATCAGACTGCATCCCAAAACAGACAAGCATTAATTCAATTTGCCCAAATGGCTCCTGATTAGGTTTGCTAACTAGGCAATGAGCTAATGGAAATGATGCAGAAAGGATCTGATTTAGCCCTCTAGCTGTTTGTTCAAGTTCAACTAGCAGCATAGACCATAACCTGCATCTGGTCTAAGGAGCTACAACAAGAATCCTGCTGATTATCTTTGTCCTCCTGGATAAGGAGGAAGAAGCAAACCAGATTTTAGGTGAAGACTGCAAATACACATCTTAGAAGATGGAGGTAAGGAATATTTTGTAACTCCTCAGCTAATCATCACCATGGCTTGTAATTTTCATTCCCCAAATCACAGTAGGTATAACTCAATATCGTGCATGAGTTCATGAATATGACAGACAGTTATTCAAGCAAAATATTTTTGTGTGTGTACATGAATCCCTGAAAACTGAAGATTAAATAAGGGAAAGATAAGATGTTTTAAAACTAAATTAATGATGTGTAACTTTGAGCTTTTAGGATTAAGAATCTAGATTAAGAATGCCTGCATTCCTATATAAAAATCAAATATTTTATTTTTGTAATTTATATAGCAATTTATATATTTTTGTAAACTATATAGCAACATCAGCAAATCTGTCCTGCAAGTGAAATTACATTAACAAGTCTGTTAATGCAACATTAAGTAAAAAGTAAGAAAGCTGAATAAAAGTAGAAGCGCATGGGTGAGGATTAATTATTTCAAGTAACTTTATTGCAAGCATTTTAGTAGGGTTTTCCAAAGTATGTAGATACGCGATAGCTCTAAACGAACATGAGGCAGACCTTGGCAACCTTAAATGCCTTATCATATTTTTTAGGAGATTTTAAAAAGACATGAAATTTAGCACTGAAATCCCACTTCATTTCCTATTTCTAATATTGAGAAGTTTGAAACATGTCCTCAGGCAGCACCAAACCCTGAGGAAACCTAAACTTCATAGAGACTTTAAAGAGGCAAAAAGTTATTCTTCTGCACATTCTTGATAAGACTCAATAGTGCCTCTTTGGGATTCTTTCCTGTTCTTGCTTTAGGCTCTTCCTTGTTTCTTTTTATTACACTACTATATACACCATATGTGCTTGCAAAGGACTGAAATATCTCTTAATGACACTAATGAAGCGTAATGCCAGATCTGTAATGATAGTAAAATTGCAAGGAGTGCAGTGGGACTCTGCGATCACCAACTCCTAGATGGCAAGGTCTCCAGTTAAGCAGAGGCTTAACTGCATTTCACTTGGAACCATTCCTGAATCCCATTGGAAGTTTACAGAGCTAGACCACTGGCAGATATCAGTGAGTAACTTTAATCAGTGAATGTCCATGGAAAAAGGCTTCAGCGGGTTGGTTGTAGGGGTTTTTATTACTATTATTTTATTTTTCCCAAGCAGCTTCATCATATATGATCTCTGAAACTAGGTCTGGCATCACAGGTTTAACCAGGACTTGTTTTTAAAAGTCCTCCTTTCAGTTAAGGCATTAAGAGCTTTCATGATATGAATACAGAAATAACCACCAAAGTTTAGTCGATGTCTTGCAAAATTCATCAACAGAGAATAATTCAACTCTTATTTTGAAAGGTACTATCTGATTTGCGGCCAAATGACAGGAAAAATGTCAGTATATACAACTGAGATTCATTAATTAATAAAAGTTTCAAATGGAATCTCAACTAGATGTAGGATTAACTCCACCTGCTTCCTATGGAAGTGGTAGGAGAGAAGCAGACTCAGCTTCTATATTCATTATAAATTATCACTTGGCATTTAAAAAAAATTCTTTTAATAACTTATTTTTGTAGAGATAGTTGCAAGTACATAGAAAATTCTGTGTGTGCTGCTTCAGGTTTTTGTTGAAGCTATCCAGCAGATGGGGCCATAGAGTTAAGAGAAAATGCAAAAGAGTGGAACGAGTTGGGGCCAGGGAGAACTCTCATAATCAGTGCAAACAGAGTTCTGTTAACTCATGAAATGCTAATGTCAGTCAAATGACTTATTGGTGATATTGTGTTCTGACTGTAAAACTGATTAAGCTGTATTCAGGTGAAGGTTAATATGATTATATGTTTGATATTGAAATAATTATGGCTTCCAATCAGCAAAAATTACGAGGCTTCAGTTTCCACTCGCAGGGCAGTGCAGTATTCCTGCGGCTGAGAAATGTGCCGCTTGCAAGGAAGCGGCGCGGTGGAAGCCCCCAGCGGTACCTGCAGCACACAGGGCCCGAGGCGGGAGCATGCGGGGGCTGAGGGACACCCGCCTGGCGTGTGGCACCCGCCTGGTGTGTGGCACCACCTCTGCGGTGCGTGGAGGTCTGCGCCCGTCGCTCGCCCGCCTGGGACAGGCATGGGCCTGAGGGGGCTGACAGGTGAAGGCCGCAGGAGCCACGGGCTGCCCAGGGGCAGCTGTGTGCAGTACGGGGTAGCAGAAGTTGTCATTCTCACTGTGTCTACTGTATTCCTTAAAAATAAATCAGTTATGTGCGGACACTTTAATCCACGGAAGGACAAACCTGCTAACGCCAGTGTGTTATGGATGCTCGAGAAGCAGACAGACTGAGCACACATGCAGATACCAACCTTAAAGTGCAAGTTAATCCTAGAAAAGCCTAATTCTCACAGGTCGTTTCTCTAAAACAAAGCTCTCCGCACTTAACTGGAGGAGCTGATCCTTTAAAAAGGATCTGCTTAACACCGTGTATTCAGGAAGGCCTACAGAGACAAAGTTGCAGTATTTCTGCAGCCCTCTGTGGCGAGGGACATTTTATTTTGTTACTCTATTCCGCTCCCGGCCCTTCCTGCCGCAGGTGAGGGGGCCCCAGGTGGGGCCGCTGGAGGCAGCTCCGAGCGGCGGCTCGGGGCGCTCTCCCTCGGCCTCGCTCCTCGCCGCCCCGGCGGGCACGGGGCAGGGCGGCCCGGCCCGCACGTGATCGGGCGCGGGAGCCGCCGCGGTACCTGGAGGCGGCTCCTCCCCGCTGCAGGAAGGGAGCGGCCGGCGGGGCGGCCGGATCCGCCGCGGGGCCGCCGCTCCTGAGGCGCGGAGCCGGCGCGACCCTCGGCGGCGGCGGCCATGGCTTTCGGGAAAGCCCCCAAGGACCCTTTCGGCACCGCCGTAGGGCGCCTCATCGGTGAGTAGCCGGGCGGCGCGGAGGACACAGCCCGCGCCGTGAGGGGGAGCCGGGGGCGCCGCTTCCCGCCTGGCGCCGACCCCCCCCCCCCCCCCCCCCGATACGAGGCGGCCGCCCTGGTCGTTTCAGAGCGGGCGACTTTCGGAGCGCAGCAGACCGAGGAGTGGGGCCAGTTCCTGCACATCTGCGACGTGATCAACGCCACGGAGGAGGGGTGAGCGCGGGCTCGGCGGGCGCGGGGATGTGCAGCCGGACACGGCTGTCCAGGGAATCAGGACATGCAGTCGGCCGGGGTGCGATGCGCACGCGGAGCTGAAGGGAAGCGGCAGCCAGCGAGGTGCAGGTGCCGGTAGCTGTGGCCGCTGGGGAAGAGCTTTGCCCGCAGCAGTGGGGGCCTTGTTCAGGGGTCAGGTCTTTGAGGCTCTTTCTTAGACGAGCAAAAGGTGTCACAGGTGTCGGCAGCTGAGGTTCGGTCCAGCCTGAGCTGCTGTCGGCTAGAGCCGTGGCCACCCTGAACCCTACAGTGCTCGAGTAACTGCTTGTGCCCAAGTGTGTCCTCTGCATGAGCAGAAAACCCCTGTGGGAGCAGACAGCATGCAAGGTCTGTGAACTTGGCGCTTTTGACTCAATCAGGGTTCCCCCTCAGGTGTTTTCTGAGCCTGCCTGCATCATGACAGCACAGGAGTCGAGTGACACTGAGTTCCTGCTCACGAAAGAGCTGTAGTGTCACCCGTCATACCTGGTGTGTGTGGCCAGGGCTGCAGAGCAGCATGGTTGAGCTTTGATACTTTACACTTTATCGTTCCTGTGTCTGAAATGTGGAAATTAATTTCCACGTAAGATTTTGCTTTTTTGTGCTGCAAGAACTAGTTGCTACCGGGAGCTGTTCCTAGCCCTGACTGGAGGGCTTTCTTCAGAAGAACAAGGTAAGCCGTAGGGTCAGCACAGTTAGTTTGTCTCATACAGGTTTTGCGTTCCTTTCATTTTTTTCCTGATCCCATGCGCTCACTCACGGCCCTGACATAGGGCTGGGAAGGTCAGTAATATTCCCAGTTGCTGCCATCAGCAGCTTCATGCTTTAAGCCTCAGCGTTAGTTTTTATGTGGAGCAGCTCTGCAGCAAAGCTCTTTTAAATAAACAACTTCCTCTTGTGCGTAGCTGGTGCCCACTGAGGAACTTCTTATAACTTCCTCCTAGGCAACTGGTCACAGTGGTCATAGTCAGTAACAGGATATTAGGAACAGCAGAACTGCTGTATCTAATTAGATGAATGGTTATTTTAATGCAATATGCAGCTTCTGACTGGCATTCTTCCAGATGCTCCAGAGAAGGAGCAAGAAAGAAGAATGGAATAGCTTTCTGCCAGGCAAAAATTTCCTCTTCCCTTTCCCTCTCCTTCCGTCACTTCTGTTTTGACTTGATGCTCTGCTAGTGCAAGTAAGTGTGGCAGCTCTGCTGACATAGCATAAAAAAAAGTAGAGAGACCTTTTTTCTTTTCATGATCAAGTCTTTCAAATTGAAAAGTGCAATAATGGCAAAAATACATTTAATTTTATTGACTATGAAATATTTTCTAAAAAAATACATTTTTTCATGTTCAAAAGTTGTCTTTACGCATTGCTTCATCTTAGATTCTAGAGAGAGCCTAAAGAGACTTCAGAACATCTTGATTTGGTTTACCGTGGGCGCTGAGGTGACCCTAATTGTTGTAATATCTGGTTACACTATACATAGCTCATATGAAACAAGCAAAACTGTTTTCCACATGTAATTTTCCACCTCTTTCCTCCTACATAGATATCTAAACAGATACAGGTTGTATATATAGAAATCAAAATGACTAGGATGGAAATGCCACTATCTTTGGCATGGAATGAGTTGTCCATCTGAACATGGTAATTACTCAGATTAATTAAAATTGCCCTGCCATTATAGGATCAGAAGCTAGCCGAGACATCCCTACTCTTGCCAGTATACTCCCAGAAGAATATTTTTTGATTGCATTATATTTGAAAAATGGGTATTAGTCTACTCTGATACATTTGGCAAATTTTGCTCTCTTTTGTGGCAATAGAAGATAGGTAAGTAAATCTCTTGTACAACAGGGAAAATATAATTTTGCAGGAAGCTATAGAGAGCAATAAATTCATTCCTTTGCATGAGTTTCCGGAGTAATCTATGGTTGGCAGTAACAAACTTGATTCACTGCTCTGTAACTCTAGCTTGGTGCTGAAGTGATTTTGCTGAAATCAATGGGGCAATTACTTTAGTTTTATAGGAGGTGTAAGTATAGGGATAAATTTGGTCCCATATCTCAGGCCATTATTTTGCGATCTTGGATGAAGTTATGAACTTGATAAGTCTAAATTTCTGGTACCTTTCTCTATTTCATATCTTGTCACAGGCCTAAAGACGCAGTTAAAGCATTAAAGAAAAAGCTTTCCAAAAATTGTAACCATAAGGAGATCAGACTTACCCTCTCTGTAAGTACAACTATATTTATATTAATCAGACACAAAAAAAAGAAAAATATTTGAAAGGTTAAGATGTCATGCAAGTTATCGTTGGCACAGCTGTCTGAGACATTCTCTGTGTTTATAGCACTGGCACAGCACTGATCAGGTGGTGTATATATAGCTCCATACAACTACTGGACGATTCCCATTCTTCCTAAACTATTTTTTTAAGCTAACTCTGTACTAATAATATGGTTCTTACTGACTCTGAGTGTCTGTACCTGAATGCCCCACCTATTTGTGAAAGATACAGGGCCTGGGATATTACATAAAAGCTGTATTTGATTGTTCTATTACTCACATTGTTGTACTGATCTTAGTTAAAGCATGTTATGCAGCATTGTGGAATGTGTGATATTTGTTTTCTAGAACCAAGTGTTGTCGCATATTGGTGAGAAATTTCAATATGGGTAACAATGGTGAGTTGAGCAAGGGAGCAAGGTACAGGATAAGCCCCATAGGATTCAAATATTATGATTAAAGTTGAATGACTGGGAATATCCTCATTTGAAGAGAATATCTCACTTTGAAAATATCTAGTCTTCAGAATTTCACAGTCTCTGACCTTCACCAAAGTTTGGACCACAGTTGTGATCAATGTAGGAGCATGTAAACATAGTTCTCCATTGTCTGCTATATAGAGAGTGTAGAAAACATTAAGAAGTTCCTAATACTATCAAAAAATCTACTGATTCCCCAGTTGAGTTTCCTGAGTTATTCGCAATAAACTAGAGTAATTGTGAGAAGACCTTTATGTTTTAAACTCTTGTGGATTTCTGTATTTCATTCTTTGTCTAGAAATAGCTTCACCATTTTCTTTTTGGGAAGATGTAGATGTCTGTCTGCATTACACTCTAAATACCATTATTCATGGTTTTGGTATTTGTTGTGCAAAATCATTATCTGTATCAACACATACTGAGAAGTGATTACGAAGATAGGCAATTGATAGTGTCAAATTGTAGGACACTTAGTAATTGCCCAAGTGTCACCTGACGAGTCAGAGATGGAGATAAATATGTTAAATATACCAACATATACCTTTAGCTCATTCCATTTCCTCACGTCTTTCCTAGTTTCCTCTTGCAGTGTCTTATGAATCACCTTTCTGTGTGTTTTGTGTTTGCATAACAGAAACACGCTGTTTCTGTAATTGCTATCCTTGTATCAGATCTGCTTTCTTTATGCTACAGATTGTGTGTGTCTTAGTCCTCTGTATGTCAGACAGAATCAGCTGGAATTAAAATTGTCCTTAGATGTAGGAGTCTTTATCTGTAGATACACACAAAATGACGTTCTAGTTCAGCTCTTACGGAACATTAAAATGGAAAAAGAATGTTTTTGTGTTATACTCAAGAATAACTTTATCATCCTGACCTGGAAGCTCATTGTATATGCTTGGAGATGGACTAGATACCAGCTTGCAGCTACACAACAAATTCATTCTTTTTCTCACAATCTTTTCCAGTTTTCAGGGCCCTTCTCCCTCTCTCTTCTCACCCACTCACATGTGACTGTGCCTGCCAAGCAATCTCATCCTTTTGGCCCAGCTTCTTTTCTGCAGGCTTTCTCTCCCCAACTTTCTAGTTCCTTAATCATTTATTTGTTTATTTATTTTAATATAGATGCCAGCGTTTCCTTCAACTCTCCCATTTCCTCCTTTTGTTTTTGCATAACTGTCCTGGCTCCTTTCCTATTTCAGTTTTTCTCCCTGTTGTGACATAAGCACTTGCAGGTATAAAACCTTTCCTTTGACCTCCATGCTGACTGCGTTTGACTTTTAGCTCCTTTGTTTGCAAATCACCTGTAATTGTAAAGATCTATAAAGAGCTACAGATTACAGATATTTTGTTTTGCGAGTTCTTGATTGTTATACTAAAGTTGTTCCTACTGCTCATTTTGAAATACTAGAAAGAAACAGGAAGACATTGCAAATAAAAATCTGGGAAATATTTTTCAGTTTCTTAAAAAAAAAATCAAATACAAGTTACCATATTTTATGAATTCCCGTCTTTTCTCCTAAATGCCTACCAAAAAAAAAAAAAAAAAAAAAAAAAAAAAAAAAAAAAAAAAAAAGAACCTTTGTGTTCTGGTGAACTGTGCCTTTCCTGAAGCATATGCTGTCTTCCAGCTTTTGAGAAACTGGCACAGTAAATATAACAAAGAAGACTACAGATTTGCAGGCGACTTTTGCTTTGACGCATACTTTGATCCGGTTTTATTTACTTGACCTTCAAATTCTGGAATTTAATCTTTCTAATGAAACTGCTCTCTTAAGGAGCTCCTTCCCAGAGAACGTTTGCAGACTGAAATGTTGTGAAAGTCTCAGCCTGGAGTGGCAGCGTTGCATATGTCAGTCCTAATTCTGTCACTGAGATGTGTTAAATCTAAGCAACGTCATTCTCGTTGTGTGTCTTTTGCATGTGTGCTTATTTACTCTCAGGAAGCAGGGTGAGTGCCAGCTGTGTGATCTCTTGGCTCTGCCTTAGCTTCGTGTGCTCTGATCTGGGGAAGGGACCTGGCGTTTCCTAAGTCACGTGGACTGAGCTGTATGTGTGTCAGGCCATAACGTTGCATCATTCACTATCTTTGATAAAGCCAAGAGGTCGGGCTTGGTAGTGCTGATTTCATAATCACAGAATGAGGAGGATTAGGACTTTCAGGCTGGAATCCAGTAAAGTATTTATTACTTCAGTCTTCAATAATAATAGACTTTGAATAGACCACATAAAATCTGCTTGCGCAGTGAACACTGAGACTACTGATAGTTTTCTCCTTAGACCTTGTTTTGTTTTCGTCAGGCATTTACTGCAGTGCCCCCCGTTGTGAAGCCTGCAAGTGCTTAAGAGCTGAACAAATAGCACATGGAGCATTAAATGTGCCCCCCTTAATGCTGTTGTCCACACACCCGTGTGCACATAGAATACACACACACTTGTGTACAATAGCAGTGGGAGGAACTTGAATCTTTGTGTTGTATTATTGCAAAAGATTTCAAAGAAAGTAAAAGACTATATTTGATACTGCTGTTCTTAAAACATGTTTCTAGAGAGTTTCCGTAATTCTGTGCGTTTGACTTGGCGTCGGACCCATTGCATCCATTGGAACTATTTGGGAAGATGTGGTCCTATATGAAATGATAAAATGAACGTATTGAAGCTGAACAAAAGATGTTATTAGCCTAAAAGTGACTTGTTCCTTAATGATCCAGATAAAGATACTGGAGCCAAGTTCTTTTTCTGAAATCAGGTTAGTTTTACTGTAAGGGGACTGCACTGGCATGACTAAGTGGAGGATCTAGCCCAGTACTTTCATTTATAGAGTAAAGAATCAGTTCTTCAAGTAGGGGGGTAATAGTAGGGAATAGCATGCCAAATTTCCCATATACTAGGTTGGAAATGTTTTGCAAAAACCATCTTTGAAGTACTGCATAGGTAAACGACTTGGCCTATTAGCATATGTTTCATGTAGTCTTTCAAATGAGAACTAATGATTTGAGCCAAGAGTTTTGGGTAATTATTTTCAAGTTGATTTTTTTGCACAGCTGGCACTGTCTCTTTGTTCTGCCTTTTCTTTATTTCAGCAATATATTCTCATCTGGTCTTACACTTCTTCTTCCATAAGGTCTGATCACATTGGGAGGATACCCCCAAGCCCTGAGGCTAGAAAGTGAGTTGCTGCTCTAGGAAAGCATATTTCATCTACTCAGTCATGAGCATGGTAGTGTCCATTAAAATCTGTGTATCCTTTTGAGAAATATTTCCTGTATATTGCGTGATTCAGCAGTTGTATGTTTATAAAAACATGACATCTTGCAAACTCCTGCAAATCCTACCCTCGTCTTTCATCTTCCTGTCTCCCCCTCAGACTGGAAGGGAGGGTAAAGATACAGTTGAGAAATAAAAAGTACAGGATTGCCCACTTTTCACTAGATGAGAAAGCACAGTTTTAAAAGCAGAATTTAGGTTTTTGGGGTTTTTTTTTTTTTTGGTTGGTTGGTTGTTTCATCCCTGTTTCTTGGTTAGTCTCCACTTGAAGGAATAAAGCGTTTATTAATCTTATTTTCTTGTCCTGTAGAGCTCTTCAGCGTCTTTCAGGCAAGATACTTGTGTGCTAGGCAGTGAAATAATACTACTCTTAATGTATATAAGCCATTTTTCATGCTGTAAACAGATTTCCTGCAGTTAAGATACTGTATGTTCACTAACTGCCATGGCATCGGAATAGGTGTGATCATACCTCCTGTTCTTTTTTAAAATAGGGTAACTGGCTAACCCATTTTTTATTTGCTTAGGAATAACAATGCACATAATGAACTGCCATCCATAGCAACCTTTTCAGATATTCTAGTGAAATTGCAGACATTTATCTGTTGATGCCTATTTGTGCTCTTCACAATAACACCTTGAAATAAATTAGAGAGGAAACAAAAGCAGGCGAATTATTTTTCCTAGCATTTGTGTAATGGAGGCTTTTTTTTTCCTGCATACAGTTGCTTGACATGTGTATAGAGAACTGCGGCCCAAGATTCCAGTCTTTAGTTGTGAAGAAAGAGTTCTGTAAAGACAAACTAGTGAAGCTGCTGAATCCGAGATACAATTTGCCTATTGACATGCAGGAGAAAATCTTGACGTTTATCATGGTAAGTCTTGAGTAAATAGTGTGTATTTGTGTCTCTGCTGTAGGGTAAATATTTAATGATGCAGCACATTGCTGTGCTTTAATGTATTCATGGGAACCTCTTATTAAAGAGGACCTGTTGCTTGTTCTTGCTGCTCCTGCTTCATGCAGGAACAACATGGAGTGAGATACAAGGAGGAAAAAAAACAGAAGTAATTCTGGAAAACCGTCAAACTCTGCCTTTTGGCATTCTCCTCCCAGTTTGTGTGGGCAGCTTTCTCTGTGGTTGCTCTGAACACGCCGGACGAGAGGAATCTTTGAAGCTTTCAGCTCATTCATGCTGCTTTGAATGCAGTTGTTTTGAGGAGGGTAAGGGAGAAAACAAGTAGCTCCGGCAAAGGGAACCCCCTCCCATTATTAACATGTGTTTTAGAAGCAATTTTAGGACCTACTGACTCTCCATTTTTTGTGACTGTTAACTGTTTCTGCTTTTACAAAACTAGACATGGGCCCGAGGGTTCCAAGGAATGGTGGATGTGAGTGAAGTAAAAGAAGTTTATCTAGAATTGCTGAAGAAAGGAGTGGAGTTTCCATCCTCTGACTCCAGCACAGGGGTATCTAAGGTGAGGATACATAAGGATCCTGCATGAGGATCCTGCATTACCCATTGTAAGTCAGAAACAGGATGTGTTAATTGTATGAGCTCTGTAGACAGAAGGTGTGTTTGTTTTGTTTTGAAATGCTCCGGGGCAATCTATGACCAACTTCCTCAAGGACGTGAGCAGAAATCAGTTTCAATTACTAAGATCAACAAAGAACTTGGCCTAAATAATAGTATCTTTATTTAATTTCAAACCACAGATGAGTGAATGCATTCTCAAAAAGGAAGCATCTGTCTCTTGAGATTTTCAGAGCATTTAAAGGGTTTGGGCATGCTTTTTACATCAAAATGAATGAGAGTTGAGTATTCCAAACTTAGCAGGTTTTGAAAGTCTCAACTGAGCAAGATCTTTATGAAAACACCTATCATTCAGAACATAGGTGATATGTATGTTTACTTATAAACTGAGAGAGGTAGAAACTTATAACAAAAGATTATCTATACATCTATCCAGATGTTTGCAAAGCCTGTATGAGGTAATCTCTACCTTCATTATTTAAACCTGTATGTCATAGGTATTATTGCATAGTATCTAGGTTACATTAAGTTATAAATATGGCTTGAGCATTGGATATCAGCTGAAAATGCAATATACTCTCTAGAGTAAATCTTTTCAGAATTTGTTTTCTATTAGAAATGATTTCACAAGACCTTGGAGAGGTGTGAAACCATTGGGTGGAACCTTGCAATTACAGAAGTAGATCTGTAATCAGTGCGCAGAGGAATGGTTTGGAGTTATCCTGTGTTTGGTTGTTGACTGAATAGTAAAGTGGACAAAAACTCATTTGGGAATGTTTGAACAAGCTCTATAGAGATTACTTTTACTAGGCGTTTATTTTTCTATGCTAAAGTACAGAAGAGATGACTTTGCCTACCACATCTAGCTCAGCAAAGTCAGTGGGAGGTATTCTGTTGTTTTCAGCACCAGCAGACCTGAATACAATGTTTGGCTCAGAGTCAGAAAACAAAAAATCAGAAATGTACAGTCTTGGGCAAGTTTTTTTGTACTGCTGTTCAACCCAGAATGCAAATGAAGCTTTTTGCAGTCCAAGTTTTCCAGCTTTTGGATCCAAAAAACTTGTTAGTATTCTTCCACAGAGATCCGGACCCTGCCTCTGCTTACACACATGATCCAATTCTAAATTACCCTTTATTTTAAGGTTACAACTGTACTTTAGGAGGGACTCTTCTTTCTGTTAGATAGCTTAAGAGCTCAAGGAGACAGCGTGGTCTTAGCCATTCCCACTTGATCTCAGGATGGAATCATTTGCAAACAAACTCATTTAAAAGCCGAATTCTAAGTCTGATTGCATTACAAAATAGCTGTTGATTGTGAAAAAACTAATGCCCAGTTGTCTAGTCTGATGAAGATGCTCTGATCTGGATGCTGGTTTCAATTCTTCCATTAAACCAAATCTCTGATCTCCTCTCTTTCAGCAAAGATCATCTCAGTCTTCTACAAAGAGCTCCCCATCTTCTGCTTCCCCTGCAAAACGGTCCTTATTCCCTCATCCGACTGGTCCAACATTATTGCTGACTTCTGAGCAGGTACAGTACTAACAGACTCGAAGGCTGGAGATCCCGTTTGCAGGATGCTGCAAATGCAGTTGTGATTTCCACCACCTGAGTGCATAAACCACTAGAAAACCATCCCTTCAAGTAGCATAGTTCTGTATTCGGGACTGTAGGTTTGCCCTATCCTGAAGAAGTTTTTATGGTGGTATGGCCAAGCAGAGCATGAAAAAGTAGGTTGAATTAATGTTAGAGCATGGCTCAAGTGGGAAATGGAATCATTTACTTGATCATGAAAATTTCCAGTCATCTTTTGTGATGATAATATGCAAATTCATAGAAATTACTTCAAAGATAAGTGAGGAAAAAAAAATTTATTTTTACCTGAGAGTTGTGCAAAGAATTTATTACAAAAAAATGGAAAGGAAAGGATAGTCTGCTTTCATTTCTAATTATGCTGTAGATAACTGAAAAGAGTAACAGCCTTGTCAATAGTGGGAGGACTTAACCTGAAAGCCCTGAAGGAGAAATAGTAGATTCAGATTTAAATCTCAATTTGATGGGATGTATAAAAGCCAGCCTAATTCAATGTTTATTTTCATGAAGAGTCACTGGAGTTAAACAATGTTAATTAGGCCTGTATTATACTTGACAGAGAAGAAAGCACATATTAGAAGTAAGAATTATTCTGGCCACTCTGTTTACATACACAATATTCTGTCATGTTGAACTGAACAGATTGGGAAACTGTACAGTGAACTGGATATGGCAAAAATGAATGTGAGAGTCATGTCATCAATTTTAAAAGAAAACGTTCCTGGCTCTGAAAATCCAGATGATATGAATCTTTTACAGGTATGCTATAATTCATTTGGTAAGGTCCATTGCTTTGTTTTGACCAATGTTAATTTTAAAATATACATTGTGTCCTTTCTTGTGACACCTGTAATATAGAAACCAACAGCAGGTTTCTATTTCTGGTGGTGTTCGGCTCTCTCATTTCCTTCACCTTCCCCTGACATCAAGATAGCCTGGGAAGGACAGGACAACTTGCAATGTAAATTTAAGCTCTGGGGAATTCCAAAGGCAAAAAGAATACCATAATAGAGGGTTCTCTGTTAAGTATGTTCTGTGAAACAGCCCCAAGAACATTCCAGTTGCACATAGCTGCCCTGTGGGGAGAAATGATGACACAATGTCTCACATATCCATTCTGGAGTTTTCAGGGATCTCTTTATTATTACCAATCCCTTGAAGGCAGACTGGAGGCCAGTGAGGAATATGAAGCATTGTTTTTTATGTGCATGACCTCAAAGACTGGGAGCTTACTGTGCAACAAATGAAGGCACATGCTCTTCAAGCGTAGCCTGAAGGAACTGTATTGCAATAATCAAGTTTGGGTTTGACAGTGAAGATACAGTCTTCTTTTTATGATGTCACTATTTCTAAACACTTCTCTAAATGCTGGATTTTCTACTTAAGAAACTTCAAAATGCTGTACTACTGTAGCATTGGAGTAGCTAGTGACCTGTACCAAATCGACATTTTTCTGATTCTTGTTTTCTGCAATAATTCAGAAATTGTATCCTTTTGTTTCTAAACATACCTTCAAACTTATATGATGAGGAAACATTTTTTTCATAATTTATGAACATTAAATGTGTTGGAGAACTGATGTAGTTTCCACAACCTTCAGGTGTGATTCCCTGGCCCAGTGGAGCATCCTTCCTCAGCAAGGAGCTCTTGTTGAGAGGTATTGAGTAGACTTCAAAGTTGAGCTATGCAGCTGTGTCCTTTTATGTATTGTTTCACAACTGGTGAGGAGTGTGAGGGATGGAGGGATAGCAGCAGTTTCCCATTGCATCCAGCCATTTTTGACACCAGTGCTATTGGTCTGGGGGAACCAGACAGCCCTTATGTCCACAGAGAGAGACAGAATATTTCTCTTAGTGCCTTTGGTGACCCTTGAAACTCCTGGCACCTCCAACACCATCTCTTCCGCAGAAATCTGTGGAGCTATAGGTCCAGGGAGGAAGTGTCTCCATAGCAAGATACCAGGATCTGAACAGAGTAGCCTTCAAGCATAGGCACATAGCTGCAGCAGTAGATTGCAGAGGCCTCGCTTTACCCGTGCAAAGGAATTGAGGAGAGGATGTGGCAGCAATGGACACCACCTAGCAGCTGGTTGGATGCACAGTAGTTAGCTTCTGCACTGCTGCTGCCTCTTACTGGATTGCAAAGATGCAAACAGGCCTTGATGACTTAACCAGCCAGAGAAAGGTACCCCCGGTAAGAGATAACATTGGTTTATTACACTTGGCCACCTCCATCTGGTCCCAGACAAGGTGTTTCACTTGTGAAACTGGAAAAGTATGTCCTTCATTTCCAGGCTTCTGTAATGGTCCTTCTGGACGTGGATGCATATATTAAGTTGCCCACAGTAAACTGGTAGATTCTTATTGACACTCCCAGTAATAAAAATGTTGGCAAAAGGTTGAGGACAGGGCGTGGAGTTCCCATTCCTGGAGGAGGGAATAAAAACTCATTCCTTGTACATTGATTTTTACCGTTGTTGTTTATTTCTGTTCCTTTCTTGTTTCTTTAGAGACATGTGAAGCATCAGGATATGTTTCTTTCAGTGTTTACTGAACCATTTTGTTTCTAGCTTTACATGGATTGCTTTCATTAGACTTTTGCTGTTGGAGAACAGAGTCCATTATGAAGAGAGCTGCTTGTTTTAGGCTTTGAGTGAGCTGGAGATGGTTAATTTCTGTCCCTATGATTATCCTGTATCTCTCAATAAAACTCATAACGGGATAAATGACATCAGAGGAACATAATCTCGGTTCTGTATCTTTGTAAGTGACCAGTCCTGCTTTTCCCAGTTTCAGGCAAAGCATGAGACAGCAGGTTCACTTGAAATATTATGCTGACCATAGCCCCTGTCAGCTAGTAGGAGTAACAAATGCTTTTAGCACCAGGACAGGAAGGAATTTGGGTCAAGGTCATCAAATGAGAAGCATTAGCCCAAATTGATTGCAATTGCTGCTCATTTTATTAAACCGATAGACCAACTCTGTGCAATTCTGGCTTTCAAAACGTACGGGTCCCTGTACTGGCGTGGACAGGAGCGAAACCTAGCGAGTCTGTGGTTGTGATGAGTGTCTGTGTTTGCCTCCTTTTTGATCATAAGATCAGGGAAGCTGGTCTGCCTGTATGATGGATCCATTAGAAATGCACATTTTTGAAATGAGGAGCAGATAATAAGATGTGCAGTTAAAAGGCTCTTAAATTTAATTACTAACATCAAGCTTAATATATTTTTGAGTTTTTTTTTCTCCTGGGCTGTGAAGACACAACTCTGTGAGACAGAGCCCTGTGTAATTGTTATGGGGGTTTTATGTAGGGGTACAAAATTGCTTTATACACAAATATAACTACTTATGTGAAATATTTTTTTGAGTGAAATCATATCATTTTGAAAATAAAATGATATGAATAGCCATGTGCCAACTGAGTCATTTCCCCCTTCTTTTCTTTTTCCTTAAGCAGAGCCAGCATTTGCAGATAGACTGTGGGGAGAGGGGGAAAAAAAAAGTTGGCTGGGTTAAAGTTCCTGTTGCTAAAGAATTTGTTTCTTTGAACATGCAAAATCAGCAGGGAGAGGAGCATAAATAAACTGACTTGCATTTCAGCTGGCAGTAATGTAAAATTCTACTCAATAAATCTTCAGAAATCTCTTATCTGCTGATTCTGCTAGGTTTGTGTTACTTTCTTAAGAAGTGCTTGGATTAAGCTCATCCAAATTTCACTTGAGCTCCTCTGTCCTTTGGGCTTATGATTTCTTTCTTCAAGAAAGCCGTGAATCGCGTTCATTAAATTGATGTGAAGTATCCTACAGAGTTTAATTGCATAGAATCACACTCAGTTCAGATTTTCTCTGAAATCCTCATAGAGGTTATGTTTTCTTCTCTCTCTTTTTATTATTTGTTTTTAATTTGTATTTGTAATTTAGTCTTTAGAGACAGATGAGCCTTTGGAAATGAAGGTGGGTCACAGTTGGGGGTAGGGTAGGCATCGGAGTGCTGCCTGCAATGATAGAAGTTGTCAGCCTTGTTTTGAAGACATCAAAGACATGAAAATTACTCTGTTTGCAACCCTTGGTATGTGTGTGGTTTGTTTAAATTAAGGAATGTTAGCCATGAGTCTGCAGTACTCAGTTGCCTTATCATTCTTCTCCAAAACCAACGAATTGGGAGACCGCAGCTAAGTTTTTTGGTTTTTTGCTTTTTTTCATTCCTCCCACCTTGGGCAGAAACTGTATAAGACCTGTCGGATGATGCAGGAGAGGATCATGGAATTGTTGGTGACAGTGGAGAATGAAGATGTGATAGTTGAATTAATACAAGTAAATGAAGATCTGAATAATGTTCTCCTGGGACATGAAAGGTAAATATAGAACCCCTCTCCTAGGTGTCTCGACTGGATAAATGCATGCAGTGAACACAAGTGGACCATATAACTAATGTTGATTCTCCACAGAGAGACAGATATTATCCTTAAAAAAAAAAATCACAAAGAGCAAAGAAAATCACAAAAGTAGAAAATTACGCATTTGCTGTCCCCTCTACTTTCTCAGAAGTGATTCATAAAGGTAGTTAGAAAACTATTAGAATCGGTTAAAACAAATTAATAGTGTGCAAAACTATACAAAAACTATTTAGGAATTTGCTCTTTCTTTCCTGTAATGTGCAGTAGATTTGCCATTAATCAGCTACAAGCTCTTTCTTCCTGGGGAGTCCTCCTTTCTGTGAACACACTTCCAGGAAAGAATAAACACCCTCCTTTCTAAATACCCTGGACAGCTTTACTGCAGAAATCAGCCATGAAATAGCATTCTGCATCATTGCATGCTTGAGAATTACTGGCTTTTCTCAACTGAATTGGAACAAGCTGTCCTACCTGTCTTACAGGGGGAAGTGTTTATTCTTTCACACATGGAAGCACTACACTGCTTTGTGTTGACATCCCACGTATTTGTCTCTTACGTCATCAGTAGCGTGACTAGCAGTTAGCAAAAACTAAGTTCAGTTTAGACTAAAAATTCCAGTATTTTCCTCCACAAATTCAGAGTGAATATAATCATGGGGAGCATTGTGCTTTAATGGGAAATAACCTTTGGTGATATTCTAAAGACGATTATGCATCACGGGGCAATGGTTAAGGAACAAATTAAAGACTTTTGCTGTATGCATATGGAAAATAGGATCTTCCAAGGCCATGTGAGGAGCTATTTTGAAGGTTGAATGGATTGAAGTGCTTTATCCATTACACATTTCTCCATTACTTATCTCTTAAGGCAAAGTAAATTGGCATAGGTAGATGGGCTTGAGGTAGCCATCCTTTCACAGAGTGCTGTAACTTCTGACAAGCATTAGAAGTGTGAAGACCTGTCACCTACTTTGATCTAACAAATGAAGCAAATAGTAAGAGAAATACACTAACAGACATGAATGTGGGGTAGGGAAGAAGAAGAAAAGGGCATTTCTAAGAGGCATTTATCTTACCAGTTTTTAAAAAATCATGATAGGTCTCTGTTCAAATTGTGCAACACAAAGTAAAAGAAACAGGATTCAACATAATATAACCAGAGCTTAGACTCTTAACCACAAGATCCACTGCTGTCCTTGAAACTCCTTTTGAGCCAATCATGAAATTCCACTTGGTTCTTGTTCCTTACTGTGAGTAACTCTGGGCTTGGTTTTGCTCCTGGTGCCTCTTTAACAGAGAGAAACTGCATGCTCCAAAATTTGTTTCATCTGAAATACTACTGTATGTATTACCATGTGCTTTCAGGGTTGGGATATTTCCAGTTTTTTATGTTAGTAAAGCAAAAATAGAATTCTGTCTTCTGTAAATCCCTTTTATTCAACTGTGGGCTTACACTTTTATTAATATATATATAATACACTTTTATTAATATTAATGAATCCTAGCAATGTCAAGAATCTCCTGAATTTTGAATAGGAGCTTGTGGTTCCAATTCGACGAATTCCTTAGAAAGACTCGCCCAGTCGTTGAAGGAGCAAATAATTTGGCCATTGTGTAACTGGAACGAAAACTACTGCAGTTTAGGGCTATTATCTTATGTTTCGTATTTAACCAGTCTTTCTGAGTGCAGATGCAGTGCACTTGAGATTTGGTCAGTGGGAGGATTTATTCAGTTTGTGTTTGCAACAGAAAGATTAATTCTTTGGGAATCTCTCTGAACAGTGTGAAGTGCAAAGGACAAACTGATTTTAACCAGCTGCATCTACCTCATGCTGGTTTTATTGTTTGAAGACAAGTTATGTTGCATTCTCTGTTTCTCTTTATTAATATGGAGTTGGGATTAAATTGGGAGCAGACATCGTTGTGCAATGAACTGCCTTAGTGCACATAGCCATGACTCCCTCTAGCGGCTCTAGCAGCTTCTCGGTTCTTACTGTACCGTAGATGAATTGGAAAGGTTTTTGCCTTTTATTCTTCCCTGCATATGTTTTTTGTAGGCCTCACCAGTTAGATAACCATGGAGTACAAGTGCAGTTTTGTAGGCAGTCTTAATGTAAGATTCTACTGCTTGAGATCTGTATTTCTGAATGGACTAGCCTTATGCATGTCAAGTATCACCTACCTGGGTCTCCTCTGCCTTTTTTTGGTTCCCAATACATACTTCTTTTTTTTTTTCTTTTTTTTTTTTTTTCAGGTGTTCTTTTTGTTTCTTTCCTCCAAGTTTCCTCCTCCAAGTTTCCTCCTCCAAGTTTCCCCCAAGTCTCAAAAGTCCTCTCATTATTTCAGGCACATGTCTCAGAGTAAGTGTGCAGTATACCCTGGGGAAGGGCTCAATGGACTTCTGAGGACAGGCGGCTTCCTGGGATACAGCTCAAAGACTGTTCTGGTCAGAAGAAGCCAGACTTGGCACAGGATGAGCTCCCTCACCTGCCTGGCATGAGTACAGCAGCAGACTTACCTGTGCTTCGGTTTTATTTAAAAGAAACAGATGACTGTCTTCAAAAATGAGCCCTAGAATAAGCATTAATGTGATCAGAGAGGACCACAGCATTGGAGTAATGAGGCAGGTTGCTAGTATGGAGATAATTGCCACAGAGAAAAGCACCTGTAGTGCATGTTCTGTTCTTCTCTGGAGTTCTTTGAAATCAGCCTTTGTCAATAAAGGCCCGGTTTTAAAAATGATGTCACTGAAATATCAGAATGAACATTTAATTATACAATTTCAACAGGTTCTCTCGAAATAGAGTTCGATTTTTGGAGAATCAGAGAATACAACGTGAACGGGAGGAGGTGAGTGATTGTAGATGTACCCACGAGCTGCAGGACTCTAAGCGTTTCTTTCTATTCATTGTGAGAAATATGTTTTTCATATACACAGATCTTTTTATTCTCTGATTGAGAGCTACAGCTTGCTGTCTTCAGTAGGATGCTTGCTGCTCTATTGATTTTTCAGAAGTTTCGCTTGGACAAGTCCATACAACCTCATGTAGCTAAAGCAGCAAATAATGTAAAATCTAAGATGGAAGCTTGGTAAGGAAAAATAGGAAAGAAAGAAACAGCAAAAGAAAATCTGTTCAAATGCTGTTTTATCACCTGTAAAGCTAAGTACTATTGCCATACATGAAATGAGGAACCATAGTGAGTTTTTTTTTTCATTTATTCTTGTGAGCATTTATAGACTGAAATACACTGTTACACGATCAGAATTACAATTACTGATGCTCTTTCTCCCCTCTGGGAAGTCAGAGTTTTTTTCTGAATTTTGAAGAAAGGCATGTAGATGCATCTCAGCAAATCTTTAGTGGCTGCCCTTTATTGATTAGTAATTATGGTTGCTAACTGTGTTGCCCAAAGTAATTTTGCGCATGTTTCAGCTTCTGCTAAGCCACTTTTGCACAGTCATATAGGACTTGATATGAAAATGACCTTGTTATAAATGCCAAATACAGCTAATAATTACTAAAGAAAGAAGACATTCTTGTTTTCCTTGAAAAACTGCTATTACTTCATTCAGGTAATTTTTTTTTTCTTGGCTTAATGGTTGCAGTGTTGAATTACGTAACAGTCCAAGTGATGCAGTCTGTGCATCATAAAATTATTCAGGAGTCTTCAAGTTTAAAATAGAATTTTTTTTTTGATCTGATATGGCCAAACCATATCATTCAATGGTGTGGTTTTATTGGTTTTATTAATTTTTTATTGTTTATATCATTTTTAATTTTAACACATTTACAGGAAACATTTTTCTGTGTTCTAGGAAATTGTGAGATTTTTTTTGAAGATTTCCCATCCCATGTAAGATTGAAAAAATTAATCTCCTAAAAATAATTGCATAGTATCAGTCAGAAAATTGATATCAAACTTGTAACTAAACATACTCACATTTACGTTTTGGAATTGAGTCAGTTCCATTTCCTACTTTGAAACTGTCTTTCATAGTTTTTGGAACAGTAACCTTGCTGAAGCTTTGTTTTCTGGAAAATATTGATTTATTTCAGTAGCTATATTGCTTTCAAAACAACGATCCTGATCTTGTCAACTGCTATCCAGTTCTTAGTAATGAATACATTATGATTTAGAAAGCTTATATTCTGTAAAAATAGCAATTGCATGTTTAAAACTGTACAAAAATTATTTATTTTAACTTTCTTCCCTGTTATATGTTAAGCTGTACAGGAAACAGCCATCTGCCCCCTCAAGTGATCTACTTGACCTCTCTGCAGATTCTCCATCTCCTGTGGTGGGAACATCCCACACTCCATCAGCAGTGGTGGGAACAAACTCTGAGATGTCTCCATTCTCAGGCCTTAGTGAGTGATGAATTCATATTTTCCTTGCAGTCTAGTGTCTTAAACCAATAAAAACTTAGTAGAAGAAGAGAGAAGGTCCTTGAAAGAAAGTAAACTAGCTGACCTTAGCTTTGAGGAGTGTGATAATTGATGTGTTTTTGTAAGTAAGGTTTATGTAAGGTAAGATAGCATTAAGGGTCTCTGGTTGCAGTGGAATCAATATTCCTGCATTATTGAAATTTGAAATCTTGGAGTTGTAATAATTTTGTCTTTGTGCTTCACAAATAGAAGTAGAGTTTTGGATTTTTTTTATATGCTTCCACAACAAAACTTTAACCCCTCCACCAAATGATAACATTTAATTAATAATGTTTATTAACATTATTATTAATTGCCACTTTGTATTTTAGATTGCATATCTGCACGCCCTGAAGATACAAAGAGGCACCATCCATCAATTTATCCACAGCTAGATTTAGCAACGACTACAAAATCCCAGCAGTTCCCGTAAGTAATCTCTTATCAAGAAATGGTAGCACTAAATAGCACTAGATAGTTAACAAGATAGAGATATCTGTCCTATGCAACTGATCCAGTGAGTTTAGGGAAAGCTCAGGTAACACAGCTAGTTAATACTTTTACACACCCATTCAGGAAATTGGGAGAAAAACTACCTTTGCTCTAGACATTACTTAAAGGCCTTTATCTCAAGTGTGTAAATATACGTGGAAGTATTTATGATTTTCTGCTTGAGTAAAAGGAAGTAATGGATGAACTGTAGAGGTCAGTAATTAAATGGTTTAAGACAGGAGGGGAGTCCTTGCAGCTTGTGTCTTTTACACAAGTGGGACACTTGCCCACTTGTTCCGCTGCTCTCAGTTGTGACATATGAAAAGAAATAGACGAGCAAAAAAAAAGTGTAATGATCAAAATATATATTAGTAGTAGTTTCTCAGTTGTTTTCTGTTATTACTCTCTCCTAGGCTCGCAAGTGATGCACAAAACAATAGTGCAAGCACCGCGGCTGGCCATACATATAGTAATGTGAGTACCAGTCATATTCAGAATGATCATCCTTTGCTGAAAAATGGCAGAAGGAGAGCTGTTTGGGTTTACCCTGATGGATGTCCAAATATCCAAAAAATACCTTATAACTCTTCTGCATACATCAGATAATGCTCTGTCCTAGGTGACCTATGCTTGATATCACAGATTGCTCCTGTGAAAGCAAATTTGTTTTGAGTCCAGGACAATCTCAGTGGAGTCTGGAAAAGCAGTTGCTGTATTATTGGTATTTAATCTGATGCCATGTGAAGAAAGCTGAGATCTCGTCCTGCCACCATTGTGTTACTCTGGTGTATTCTCTGATTCAGATAAAACCAAGAAAAGGAAAAAAAAATCAAATGCGACGTAGGACAGGGGATGTATGCTGCAGACAAAATACCAATGACAAATGGAAAATAAAGAATATGAAGGGACTTTAAGGTGTTTGGTGTTAGGAATTTGAATGCTAATCTGTGGTAGGCAGTATGAAATCCCCCACACTCGCATCTCTAAAGAGCAAGTTGAAGCAGACAGCTGCATTATGATTACTGCAGTCTGAATCTTTGTAGTATAACAAAGCACATCCGAAATAAACTACAGAGCTGTGCTATTGATAAACCTAACATATTTTGAATTTTAACTGTGTGGAGAACCTATATTAATTAGACTCATAGCCGTTGACCTAATCTTTTAGGAGTTGTCTGCTATAGTTTGAGAGTCTAAAGTCAGTAGTCATGAAACTAAGCCACAGTGATTCTTACAGATCAGTCTGTTAATGCACTATACTGCTTGATTTCCTTAGCTTACAACTCTCTTAAGCCATGTGCCTCTGAATCCAGTAAGTCTGCAGCCTGGACATACAGCATCACTAAATGGAGTATCACCAGCAGGTAAAAAAAATACTGCAAACCCAACTTTCACATGGATGTTAGTGCTTTTGAGTTTTACATAATGGTTGTTAAAGACTAGGAGCAGCAACAGTGATGGCAAAATCACATGTAGTTTGTGGTCTGTCTTAGAGATGCTCGACCATTTTAGTGTTTAGAGCAACAAACACATGGGAAATAGACTTCTGGTTTCAGAAAGATTTGAAAAAGTAGCATGCATTAAGCACACTTGTCCTTTACGTTTAAATATGAATTAATCTGTCCATCTTTGCCCTTCAGCTACATCAAAGAGCAAGTCACAGGCATCTCATTACTATGAGATAATGGAATTTGATCCCTTGGCTCCCAAAGAGTAAGTAACTTTTAAAATCAAGTATTTACATGTTTCTTAGGTGCCAGAGGCAGGACGGCTTCTTAGAAGGGCTTTTCTTCTGAGTTAGAAAACATGCCACATTAATTAAGTTGTTACCTGACCAATTGGACTTAGTATAAATGGGAATGGCTGCATTTTGTACTTCTTTTAATGCACCTGGCGTAACCAACCAAAGGATAAACAGTAAACTCACAAAAATTGAATATCTGCAAAAAACTTACTTCTGAGGAATTGTCGATTTCTGAGTTAGTTTATAAAAATGCTTTGTTGAGATTTTTCTAACTAGTGTGCCAATTACATGTTGTGTGGTAAACTGGCCCTTTACATTTTGCAGTCATGTTTCCAAACTTACTCCATCAAAAGTGGAAATGTCCAGAGGTATCTGATTACATGTGTAATCTGACACACCACAGCATTAGTTCTTTGTTTCTATGTAAATGTGAACATCTTACAACTGATGCTACTATATTAAGCAACCGCTTTAAACTCTTGGCAGTTTAAGATTGGGCAGGATTTTATTAGTGCATTTTTGTCTAACTAATATAAATCAGCTGTGATGTGGGAACTTCCCTATTCATCTTCTTTCAGAGCTATTTATGAAGAAATTGATGACAATCTTCTGAAGCCAGAAGTTAATAAGGATACACAATGCTGAGAGTGGACATGAATTCTTTCACTGAACACATATATGGTTCTCTGGTGCCAGTACTGTGCACCATTTCCATTAACGTATAAGTGAATAAGGGAACGATTATGCATTTTCACATAACAAAAGTATTGGAATATCAAGCCATGTGGAAGTGGAAAAGTTACTTGGATATTTGCACCTTGAGAATTTGTCTGAAATGTTCAACTGTGTACTCTCTGTGGTGCCTTCTGTGATTACCTTTAAGGTACTGGGGCCTTTAAAATATGTTTTCCAAACTAAGCTGTCCATGAAGTAGTACTTGGCATGTGACACAAGCTAAGCAAAGAGTCTCTTGCAGCTGCAGAAGAAAGCTTTTCCTTCAAGTTTGCTCCATTGTACTGCTGTAGCTTTTTATGTAGCAACCAAAACACCACTTGTATGTACAGAAACTCTATAATCCAATCTCTGTTTTAGCCTCTTTGCTGCCTGTGTTAATCTCCATGGAAAATGGTAAGGGCTTTCCCATATGTAGAAATCCTTGGGCCTCTTCATAATTGTCTGAAGACATTCAAAGTTAAACTGTTTGCCTTTATATTCTGAATGCACAGAAATGTTTGGATATTTTTTTATTCATAGGAATCTGAGCTGGGGCATTAGGCACTGTCATCCATTATTAACAGAACAGAAAAATGCTGCTTGTTCCTATGCTGTTATTACTTTAATTTTATGTACTCAGTAAATAATGGAAAGGGATCGATCATTTTCTCTTCAGTGTTCCTGCCCTGCAGAGACTTTTGTTCTGGTACAATGCAGATGAGCATTAGTTATCCAGTTATTTTAATCAAGTAATTAATAACAGTTCTAGCTTTAAATAAAGTGCCTTCTCTATTTTTATGCTGAATGTAAAATTTGCACTTAAATTCAGGAATTCTGAACTGATACAAAACTTGAGATAACTGGTACAAAATTGAGAACTTTGTTCATGTTCATACTTGGTAGGCTGACAGTTTAAGTACTACGTTTTAAGCTTTCATTATAATAACCTTGTGGGTGATACCAAGTTCTCAGTCTGTTACAAAGGTTCTGTAGTACAAGACTCCAAATAAAACCACTGCTTACTGAGAATTTAACCTCTGTCACTTTTGAGTATTTACCAGCTAACGTCCAACGCCTCAAAATGCCAAAAGCAGGTTTGAAATGTGAATCGTGGTGGTGGTGCAAGTACCTGATTAGCAGTTCTGCAGCTACCTGCTGGGCCAGCAGACCAGCTTTCCTCTCTCAGAAAGACTGTTTTGAAGAGTTGGGGGCAAGGGGTTGGCTGAATCAGCAGTGCTCTACGGTGGATGATGCTAGTTAAACTTCTCCAGCATATCTTCGAAAAACAGAATGGATACAGATGTAAGAGAAATGGCGGGTACTCAGCTTAGGGAGTTCACTTTTGAAATATGGTCGATCTTTGTGTGCATATTTGGGCTTTCCAACTTAGGGAAAATTTGCATTTTTAGGAAACTGGGCACTTGGAAACAGGCTCGTGATGCTTTTGTCAGAGGAGAGTCTTTTTCTTTTGAAACATTGGACCCGAATAAAGCAGTACATGGAAAACGGCCAGAATCAGTTAAAATTTCAAAAAGCAAATGTAGCCATAAAACAACTCGGGTAAGAATAGATTTTTTTTTCTAACCTAGACTCAAAGAATTATCTCGAGTGCATTTTTCTGAACACAACTGAATTAGAGATTATAATACTGTCAGGATTTCTGATATTTTTATATGGATATTTCACTTATTATGTTGGACAAAAAGTATTGAAGATAATGGAAGAATTTTTAAAACTTTAATAAATACACAGTGAAAATCTAACATTACTATCATCCAGATTGTTTTAAATTACAAATATATTTAATACAATAATGCATTTTAAAGGTAGCTTCTATATTTTCAAAGACCATTTTTAATTTGCATTTAAACATGATTGAGATGTCATTGAACGTTATTTCTGATATACCCATTATCTTTTTACAGTCAGAACAAATTAAGTGATGTCTTCTGTTAGATCTTGTCTGTTGAAAGAGTTAGAAAAAATTGGGCTGGCAAATGAGACACTGGGACAAGACTAGTTCCGGTCTGAGACTGGGTAGGTCATTTAAACTTGCTCTGTAACTTGCTGATTTGCACAGCAATTATTATCCCTGCCACATAGATAATGACAAAAGCTACATAAATACAGGCTTACGTGTTCTGGTTGTAAACACTCTGAATACCTATGTGTACCTCTCAGCCCCTGATAAGCTCTTGGGCAGGCTCTGTTGCCTTTAACCTCTGAGCGTGGTTGACTGACTGTAGTTTTCGAGCAGACACCTTTGCCTATTGAGTTAATTCTGAACAGCTTTTTATGGCCTGCCTTTGCCTTTGAAGCACTTCAGACACACACCTAATTTCCCTCTATTTACAAGTCCCAGGGATTGGGCCTCCTCTCAGTGGTGAGAGAGCAGTAATTAGTACCAAATTTAAATGACTTGAACAGAATATCCAAACGTTAAGAAATGCAAACCCTGCAGAAAGGGCACAAAGACAAAAAGATGAGTTCCATCTTAAGTCTCAGACACTTCTGCAAGGAGCCCACAATTCTGAAAAGCTTACCTTTAATTTATTTCACCTCACATTGAAATAGTAACAGTTCCAGAGCTGTCTGCTCTTACCAAATAAACTACTGATTCAGTAATAACTGAAGAGGCAGCAGCAGCATCTACTCAATCATATTCTCCTCTGCTGCAGGGGGATAACTTAACAATTTACTCTAATTTTTGGCTTGAGATTTCTTGAATTGATTAAGCATGTTATTTTACTGTAAAAGTTTAATCACTGAAAATACAAAGTAAATGGAAGTTATTCTTCAGATCCAGGACTGCAACTTTAACAATTTACTTCAGATAATTAACTTTAATTCAATTAACTTTAATTAACAATCTGTTAATTTGAAAATAGCTGATAATCTCAGTTTGCCCTTGGATTTAGAGATCTGCTTCCTCACATTCATATAACATGCATCATTGGAAGAGATGACAGTTGCCTTTAGAGAGTCCTTGTGTTCTGATGATAAAAATACTGTTCCTATGGCAATTGTAACTGCATGAGTTAAAAAAAAATAGAAAAAAATCTGTCAGAACAGCAACATGTGCCCACAGTGGTTTAATAATTTAATTTCACACTGCAGACTACTTGTGTGTTGTTCTTAGAGTATCTCTTTCCATGGGAAAAGGTCTCAAAACTGTTGACCATGCAGCAGAAGTCCAAGACATTGCCTATTACTGATATCCTGGAAGTGGTAACTTTTGTCCTTCCTTTGCTTCAAAAAATGTGTAAGAGAGTGTGATCAAATCAACTTTAGCCATTTTAGGGTCCTCTGCAAATTCTGGATCAATGTAGAAAAAGACAGGCATGTCTACTTCCTCTTGAGGATTAAGCCGCTGTTCTTCAAAACAAAAACACTGCAGGGGAGAGGGAAGAGTGAAAAAAAATGAGTCACTACAGAGATTCTCTGCTAAGGTGAGGAAGCACTTGATCTTTTAAATCCATCTGTATTCCCAGTACATTCCTCACATCCTAGGAAGGATGAGTACTCAGGATAATAGGTGCCATCTCAGCAATTCTGACGCCAAGACAGCAATTTTGTTCCCCATGCATTATAGGAAGAAATAATTCTTTTAGTAATTTGTCCAGAGGTACAAACTGGACAGGCTACTGCACATCATTAACAAATGCCTTTAAAGACACTTCTGCTAACATACATTAGGCAACCAGTCTAATTTAAAATGCTATGGCCGGTCTAGAAGACAGCGAGTCTAAGAATAAACATGATCACTGGGAAATTTTAAGGCATTTTCTCATATACATACAATAATGGACTCCAGGCTTGAAATTCAAAATCCTCCTTTGTGGATAACAATTCCCTTACATTCATATACAGGAAAATGCAATCAGTGAATTGTTCACACTTACTTGTATTTTATTGAAATATTGTCCTGCTTCAAAGGGCACAACATTGTAGGTAGAGATCCCAATTATGGGCTTGTCCGTAGGATTTTTTGCTTTATAAAAGGCCAGTGCAGTCTCTCCTGGTACCACCTGTTTAAAAAAAAAAAATCACAGTAGATATTTAATACACTGGAGCCCTCCATCTCTCCAAGACATTTAGTTTGAGTTTATTTTTTGCCATTTCAAATTGATTACTCCTAAGCTTCACTAACATGTTAGTTATAGGTAGTTCACCCTTGTTCTAAATGTAAAATATTAAAAGCATTCATCTATGGGCATTTTGAAACTTGATTAATTTAGCACTGACCTTCTAGTATTCTCAGCACTTTACCAGCGTGCAAAGCTTTAAGAGGCCTATTTATATAGAACATACTTTTCCATTTTTAAGATGATTTTCTTTCAATAATGGTATCGGAAACCAATTAAGAAATGTAACTGATTTTGAGAGTCTTTATCAGGAGCCAATTTTGAAACAGTAAAGTTGTATTTATAAAAAAAAAAAAAAAAAGAAAACTTTCATAAAAACAATCCTGGAAGCGAGTGGCAAGACACTAAGGTACCAGCCTGGCCCAGCTACACGGTCTAAGGTAAGTCGCTCTACGGGGCACTAGTTTCACACTTGTACAGAGTAAGCTGCAATGTCTTCGGGCAGCTCCCTGCGGAAAAGGAAACAACTGCAAGAAAACTGCAGCACAGCAAGCAGTAAAACCAGCAACCACCTCCTGGTCGGGGAGAGGCGAGCTCTGCCTCTCCCAGCCGTGGGGATTCTGAGCTGTGCTGTGTGTGCACAGCCCTGGCCTTGCAAACACGGGTGTTTTTTTTCTGGATGAAGCACCCAGACGTGTGAGTCAATGCACTGGGCCAGGGTGGCAGCGAAGGGCCTGAGCAAAACCTACGCCTGCGTTCTGGGCTCCGCGAGGTAGTTGTGTGTGAGGGAGACCAGGGGCTGCTCGGGGCACTCACGTAGATCTCGGTCTGCTGCGGCCGGAAGTTCCACTGGATGCTGGTGTGCACGTCCGCGTTGAACGTGACCTTCACGACGCGCTCCCTGACTGGCCTCATGCTCTCGATGCGCTCCTCGCCCTGCCCGGCGCTCGTCGTCCCGCCGAGGCCCGTGGCCTGCGGACACGGAGGGGGGTGAGCGAGGCCACGCGCGCGCGCGGGGCCCGCCGGGGGCGGCGGCCGCCGAGGGCGGGCGGTACCTGGCAGTAGAGGCGGTAGAGCGGCACGGCCGCGTAGGACAAGCCCACCATGCCCACGGCGGCGGCGGCGATGTAGGTGAGCGTCGTGCGGTTGCGGCGCCGCCACTCCTCCTCCTGCGCGCGCGTGAAGGGGTTGGGGCCGCGCAGGC